TTGGAATGGAAGACCCCTTGATGTGGCCTCTTTATGTTGGGGATACCTTGTGATCATTTTTTTTTGAAAGAAGAACTTTGTGATGGTTGTGTTGATGAACTTATCATTTTAGGATTTCTTGGATTACATTTACTCGAGACGAATAAAGATTCAAGTGTGGGGATATTTGATATGCACTAGTTTATAGTTCATAAATGTATGTTTTTGTATTGACTTTGTGTAGATTTTCTATCATCTTTAGTTAGTTTGTAAACATTTGTTTTATGTTGTTTGTAATTGTTTTTAGCTTTCATGTGTAGTTGTAGAAAAGTGGTAGTGTTTTTAGCAAGGAAAAGGAGAAAAAAAAGCTTAAGATAAAAATGTCCAGGAGCACAAAACCCGGTCGGGTCAGGCCCTGAACCCGGTCGGGTCTGAGTTGATAGCCGAATCCCTGAGGAAATAGCTAGACCCGGTCGGGTCCCCTACTTGACCCGGTCGGGTCAGATGTGACCCGGAACACCAGAACGTGCCAAAGATCACCGGAATGAGAGAATATCTAATTTTTGGTCAAACCCGGTCGGGTCCCCTACTTGACCCGGTCGGGTCTGACTTGACCCGTGACATTTTAACGTGCTGAAACACAATAACGTGAAGAAATGATCTGATTTTGACCGGTACCCCGGTCGGGTAAGTACTATACCCGATCGGGTACCCGACCAAAGGTGTTGAAAACACCTATAAATAGCACACTTTTTCTTCACAAATATCCATCCCTTCTTCTATACTCCTAAGCTCAGTTTAGAATAGCATTTCTTATATTTTATAGCATGCTTAGTCTCCAAATGAGGAGCTAAACTTCCATTTCTTGGTTTTGCTCTTGAAGCTTGTTGATTATTAAAGTTGTGAGTTATTTTATTAACTTCTTCTCTTGATTATTAATTCTTCCCTTAATCTCATTCTATATTAATGTTGGAGGGTTGCTAAGTGAGGATTAGTTAACGTTCTGACATTAATTACTACTAGAAACGATCAACGAACCGATGGTTAATCATTGGTGGTTTCACAAGTCAGTAACTTCGGTTTATTAATGCACGGTCGTGGTTAATAGACTTAAGAGGGATCAATTTTGTTGGTTAAACCGAAACCGTTGTGTTGAGGTTATCAATCTCAATTGATTTCATCAAGGAGTTAAAAAGATTGAATTATACTATTATATCGGTATACGGCGTTGTTCTATATTTGATTAATAGTAAGGGTTATTAATGAACGATCGTTGTTAATAACTACCCTCGATGAATTGGAGATACTCCTCGATTGAGTATTCGAGAGGGGATAAGTTATAGATATAACAAGGATCGACTAAAATATATCAACAAGTGGAAAGTAGCAAAACCAAGTCCCTTTTATTCTTGAATTAAATCTCATATAAGTCGTTCATCTTAGTTTTTAATTTAATTAAATCATTCATCACCAAGACCCCCCCCCCCCCCCCCCTTTATTTACTAAATTTCATAAAAAGAGGATTACTCCTTTTCCTGTGGATACGAACTCTACTTCACCTATACTACATATAAGTGTTAGCATCGAATTATTTTGACGCACCATGACAAAGTGCTCGTCAGTATCCAATTGGTACATCATGAACATGTAGCCAAAATTCAGCCCTTTTTAGGGGCGCCTCCAAAGTTAGGTCCTCTTTCCGTAGTTCGTACAACACAATAAGATTTTGGTCAAAAGTCCATGGTCCTTCTTCTAGAACCCATATCATATCTCTTTCACTGTAAAACGAAACATATATCTCCTAGCCCCCAACTTAGTAATCGTGATGCCTCTTAGAGATTTCTCGAAAAATAGAAAACATATCGGCTGTTCAGGGGTAATTGTCCCTACAAGGGATAGACCCATTTCTTCAATATCAGGGGTCGTGGCCTCCACCTGTAGAAACTCGGCATCCTCCTCCATCTCCATGCATCCATACACGTTAGCCATCCTCTCTATCTCGCGTTGCTCGTTGTTGGCCGTCATCACCAATGCTCTTGCACTGTTGCTCATCGGAAAACTGCACACCCAACTTTCGTGACTGCTCGTAAGGCAGCCGCCCTGCACCGTCTTTCCTCTCTATCCTTCTCGCCAACGAACCCAAAGGTTATCCTTTTTCGTATGGATATCCCAAAGGGTTTTTGCAAGCAGGGCAGAATTCCAAGCATGAGTATCATGAATACCAAAGCCTCCTTCTTCCTTGGGGAGGCAAATGTCAACCCAAGCCACTCTAGCATACTTACAACCCCAAAGGAAGATGCGACAGATAGAAGTGATTCTATCAAGCACAACCTTAGGAATAGGGAGTGCTTGTAGCCAAAATGATTGGACCCCCTGAATAACAGATTTGATACGTTCAACTCTACCAGCATAGGAGAGACTTTTAGTATTCCAAGCACCGATAAAGTTGGTGATAGAATCCAACAAAGGAGTAATATATGTCTCTTCTATCTATTCTACCTCTTCCTATATTTCTAATAGATTTATTTGTTAATAAAAAATCATAATTCTTTTTATAAGAAAAAAACAAAAATCGTAAAAAATAATTAAAAATTAATAATAAAATAGGGAAAAAATAAAATAAAAAATAAAAATATAAAGAAAATAAACAAAATTTAAAAAACGTAAAAAATCTAAAAAATCTAATAAATATAATAAAATACCTTAAAAATCATTAAAAAAAGTACGTAGGTCACTACCTCCACATCCTCTACCTCTCAACACCACCCACTCCAATTGTCAGAAAAATGTCACATTGTATAAAAAATGTCATATTCCTCTAGAAATGCCATGAAAATGAAATTTTTACTCTTTGAAAATATTAAGCGTTCTTTTCAAAATTCAAAATGGCCATCACGGTGACAGTTTTTCAACCTGGCATTCTTTTCTGGCGACCGGAGGTGGTTGTGCTGGAAGGTGATTGAGGCATGTTAATTTTTTTTAGATTTTTTTTTTTTTTTAATTTTCATGTTTTACTATCACCTCTTCGCTTAAAACTTTGCCAAATTTCTTTTTTCAATGTCCATTAACTTTGTCATTTTCCATTTAAAGTAAAGAATTGTGGTTCTATTTAATTCTTTCTCCTATGCACAAACCTCAACCACATAACTTTTACTTTTTAATTCATGCGCCGGTCAAACTTCGCAAACTTTTTAAGGACAGAGGGAGTATTATTTAAGAAATCCTATTCATATTTTGAGAATTTAAACTTGAAACTCCTCTTGTATTGTTGAAATTTTATTTGAGATAATTCCCTGGATAGGACTAAAACATGTAAAAAATGCAACAATAGGACTTCAATGTTTCATAGGAGTAAAAAGATTCAGATTGACAAAACTGCCCTTAATGAAAATAATAAAACAAATTAATGATCTGGTGCATGACAGCAGCTTAAACAAGTTGCAGCAAGTGGACACAAAGTGCACCAGGTCTGGTGTATGACCGTCGATCTCTACTCCCACCACCATCTCATATGCTACCACTATCAACCGCCTCAGCCACCGACCGCCAACCGCTAACCTCCGACCTCCGACAACAGTAAGTCTTCAATTCATACTACCGCATTCTCCACAGACCGTCTCCAAACCTTATTTGTGAGACTGCAGAAGTAGTTCATTAATTTCCCTCTGAAGATGTTATTATGCAGAGAAATTGATGCAGGAGTGGTTCGTGCAACAGTACCACTCAAGTGTCAGGTGCAAAAGATGCATGACTATTATTTGGAGATGAATTTGCTTTCACTTTTTTATGGTAGATTTGTAATCACCTTGATGCTCCACTATTCAATAAGTACCGGAAAGAGACAACAATATCAAAGTTTAATTTCTTTGATATTGATAATATATTGACATCCTTGACTAATATTGACATCTTTAATTAGAGTCAAGTGGTCATATTTGCCATCTTTAATAAGAGTAATATTGTCATGTGATGAATGAATTTAGTGCCAAAAATGACATTATTTGCCAAAAACATTGAATTTAGTGCCAAAAAATGACATTATTTGCCAAAAACATTTCCGAAAACATGGCATTAGAGTAGTATTTCATACCTTCTTCATAAAATAGATGGCAATATTTCCAAATCAAGGTTCAAATTAGTGTTATGACTTTTTTTTGTCAAAATAACATTTTGAAATTGAATAACATGACATAATGAGCAAAATCAAAATTAAATTTAAAACTAATAAAAAATGAAAAAAATCAATCAAATTGATCAAGAAAGTAATCTGGAAATCGAAAACAAAAATAACCTGGAAACATCATAATATTGATGGAAATCAATAAAATTAATTAATTTAAAATCCAACTGAAAGAAATTGAAAAAATTCATCAACAAAGTGAAGAATCATGGAGGAAAACAGAGAATGAGAGGGGAGAAGAAGAAAAGCGAAATTTACCAACGGTGAACCTAGCCTCTGCCTCCCGCCACCCTCCACCCAGCTGCCCGTCGATTGCAGGAGATGTCAAGAAAAATCATCACCCACACTTCTGTAATCCGTCTGAAATGGGGGGAAACTAAAATTGAGAGGATAAATTAAGGTTATTCTAGAATGAAAGAAGAGGATGAAGGATTTGAAGTCCAAGGAGAGGAGAATTGCGAGAAGAAAGGAGAGAAATGGGAGGAGAGAGAGGGAAGAGGGGAAAGAAAAATAAAAGTGGGGATGCAGAGACGGTGCGAAGGACGAGAGACGGTTTGGTAAAGATATAATGGGAAAGCTAATTAAATTGGTCATATTCAAGAAATAAACTAAAGATAACTCCTAGTTTGGAATTTTTCTATTATTTTAGTCCTATTTAGGGTAATAAATTATTTTATTTTTGTTTAGTCGTATTTAGGAAAATCTCCCATTACTAAATAAATAAATAAAAAATGAGGAAAGATATGTGAGTAGAGGGGTTGTGAACTTGTGGGGTATAAAAGAGGAGGGTTATGCAGCACAGCACCTGATGCAGAAGCAGACCATGATGGCAGCTTACTATCCCACAACCACGGTCACCACTGACCACATCCAACAGGTTCTTCAATCCAATTTCTTCCCACCTACAAACATAACCCTTTTATTTTATTTTATTTTATTTTATTTTTGCCTTCATCTCATCATCACCATCATCATGGTATATATGATTCTCTGATCTTTTTCTGCTATGCAGTGTTTGTGCTATCTTGTACTTATTCTTTTATTTTATTTCTATGTTTTCTTGCTGGACGAAGTGCTTTTAATCTGCCCTCCTCCAGATTTTGTCTTTCTTTGCCTATTCCGATCATGGGCAGCTACCCTAGCTACTCAATATATACAAAAGTTTAGATCTTTTGAATTTTCTTGCTTTCTTTTTCACCCAGGGATTAATTTTTGTATAAAGAAAAAATCTGTTCAACAAATTACAAAATACATAAAACTTGTTCTTGGTTTATATTTATATATATTTAATTTGTTGATGAGCTGCTGAAGCTTTACTTTTCTTTGTTATGGGCAGTATTTGGATGAGAACAAATCATTGATTCTGAAGATTGTTGAGAGCCAAAACTCCGGTAAACTCAACGAGTGTGCTGAGTATGTTCCTTTTATTCCTTATAAAAATACTTTCTGGAATAATCTATCTTTGTTTTTTATTTTTTTGTGGTTAAAAATAACCTGTTTGCAATATTTAATGATGCATTCAATTTTTCAATGTCTGAAAAATAATTTAATGCCTTCTGGAATTACAAGAATGCCATTTTAGCACCCCTCAAAACCCTTTTTATTAGATTCTGATTAATTGTATTATTTGTGTGTGTATGTGTATATATATATATATATATATATATATATATATATATATATATATATATATATATATATATATATATATATATATATATATATATATATATACACACAGTATATAGTACGGGTATTGTTTCATCTTTTTTATTTATTTTCTAGCTAACAATATATACCCAGATTAGTTTGCAGCTAACTGAATGGTTCAAAACAATAATTTCCCTGTTTTCTAATAAGTTATTTTTTATTTATGGTTCAAAACAATAATATTCACACCTTTCGTAGCAAGAAGTCAAGAACATGATCTGGGTTGCTCATACGGAGTATTGTTTTTTGTGCAGCTCAATAATCTTCAATACCAATTTATTCTATGTATTATAAGTGTGGTAAACGAAACAAGTAACCTATTTTGAGACACAAGAATCACAATATTAATTAAATTAATTGTGAAACCATTCTTTGCCTATATTTTGGATCTATAGAAATGTGATGAGCAATATACTCCTTCTGACGAAGCTATATTAATCTTCTAATTCATTCTTTTCTAGTTTGGCAAAAAGTTGTGGTTCAAAGCAAAAAAAGTACATCTTTCCTGTTTTTTTGGTACAACTATCACCACACAATTTTTATTATCTTAATTCACATGCAAAAACTATTTAGAAAATTACTACCTCTGTCCCGGAATTATCTCCTTATTTGATTGGGCATGAGTCTGTCCCGGAATTATCTCCTTATTTGATTGGGCATGAGTTTTAAGATAGTCGGAAATGTGTGGTGTAGAGTTGTGCAGAGGAAAGAGAAATGTGTAAGAATGGTTGTGAACCACAAATTCTTTGCCAAAAAAAGAAAGAGAAGATAAATTTGGGACGGACCGAAAAGGAAAGAATGAAGATAATTCCGGGACGGAGGGAGTATATTTGAAGCCGTTTGGTAACATGAAATCGATTGAATCGGTTGATTCTGCTAAATTTATCACGGTCTAGCTGTATTGGTTTCATTGTCCGATTCTGCTGATTTATGCAAAAAATACCTTGTGAAGTATTTAAAAATATATTTTATTAATAAAATAAAGAAAAAATCAAATGAAAAATAGGTAAAATAATATTCTGGCCCAAAGAACCAGTAAAATAATTTCAAACTTACTTTTTCTTATTATAACACATTTCGGCGCACGAAATTAAAAGTTACGTGTTTGGTGAAGAAATTGACTGATAATCCTGATAAATCTAAAAATAAGATTATCAAACGGGCTCTTGTATTCTTGGATGGAGTATAATGAATTGTTTTTTGTTGTTACCATTGGTAAATAAGAATTCAAAAATGATGTTTGTACACACCGTTATACACACTTATTTTCAGGAACCAAGCAAGGCTTCAAAGAAACCTAATGTATCTGGCTGCAATAGCTGATTCACAGCCTCAACCTCCTAGCATGCACCATCCTCAGGTACTTGATAGGCTATATTTGATTTGAAGTCATTAGATTTTTTGTCAGTAAAGCCTTTGACCTATATATCTAAGAGCGTATCGAAGGGAGCTTTTAGATAATAAAGTTATTTCGACTGCGGAATGGTTTCACTATAAAAAACACTTTACACTTTATAGCAGTTAAATTAAGTAAAAGCATAAAGTGAAATAGCCCTACTTCTAAAAGTACAATTTTTGAGCATTTACAATTTTTGGTAAAAAGTTCTTTTGATTCTCTGAAAAGAGTTCTTTTAAAAAGGAAATCCAGAAAATAAGACTAGTCCGTAATCCTCCGTATATTTTTAACACATTAAATCCTTAAAGATCAGAAGAATAATTGTTTTTTTCTTTGAAGAATTAGTCATATACGAGTACTATCTATTTACTTAGCACAAATCAAAGTACTTCATTCTTTACACATGAACCATATTAGGAAATTTCTCAAAATGATGTGATATTTCAAAATAGGAGGTTTACATCCCATAAAATAATCCACACAAAATAATGTTTAGAATAATCTTTTCTTTGGATACTCATAAGTCATACCCTCAGTTTTTCAAAAAAAAAAAAAACATTTTGTACACACTGTTTGTAAAAACTTTTTTGTCTGTCACAGTCACAGACAAGAAAAAAGCATTCACAAACCGTGTATAAAGTGTTTACAACCTGAATTGTTTTTTGCCTTTGGTGTTTATGGATTAGATAGATCCTAAACTTGGGTCTTTAGAAAGGCAATTTCTATGGTACCTTCAAGGTATGGTACCTTGATGGTATGGATCAATAAAAAATTTTCAATTGAATAATTTAAATGCAAATAAAATGTAAAACTTTGAGTTGCACCAATGAAATGCATCCTAGGTATGGTACCCTCCTATTTTTGTTGGGTACCATAGCAAGCACCCTTTAGAAATTGGCCACAGAAACCCGTTCACAAGAAGCTTTATACGTTTTAGGAGTATATAACTAGAACCTCTATGATAGCATTAGATGAAGATATTGAAAATGTGAAATTATGACTAAATAAAATGTATTGAATCGTAGATGAATCTTCCCAAAAAATGTATTGAATCGGTTAAATCATGAAATGGTTATATTTAAAACACTTTTTTTTTTATCTCTTTTAAGGTTGGCTAGAGTTGCCATGGTTGGATTAATGACAAGTTCATTCGAATATGATAAAACTTTATAGGGGAGAACTTAAACCCTCCAACTTTCATAAAAAATGCAAATAAGCCCTTTTAGAGGAGACTTTGTCCGGCTGTCGCCATTTGGGGCGGTTTCCGGTCGAAGTTTTTTATGAATTTTTTGAGCATCTTCTTCATTAAGTCTAGTTTATTCATACCAAATTTCAGCTAAAAATTCAATCGAGAAGGCAGTCAAATGATTTTCTGAAATATACTGTGTTGCCTAACTGCGCCTTTATCTTCAAAAATTCATTTGTCTGCCTTCCCGATTGAATGTTTAGCTGAAATTTGGTATGAGTAAACTAGACTTAATGAAGAAGATGTTCAAAAAATTTCATCAAATAATTCCACTGATACCGCCACAAATGGCGACGACCGAACAGAGCCTCCTATAAAAGGGCTTATTTGCACTTTTTATTAAAGTTCGAGGGCTTATTTGATAGTTCTCCCAACTTTATAGAAATTGCTCTAAATAGGAGCTAAAACGTTTAGAAGTATCATGTTTTTTATTCCCTTAATTTAGAGTAATCTGCCAAGTTTGGAAAAAATGGCGTATTTTAAAGCCTAGTAATATCAAACTTGACAGAAATTTATCCTATTCAAGGAATAAAAAACTTGATACTTCTATTTTGGAATTATGAAAAATATTATATCGGGTGTCAACCTTAGTAGGAGGAGAATAAGCTCAAAATTGGAGTACAATCCTTTTATTTCCAAAATAGAACTAATATATGTCTCTTCTTCCTATTTTGCCTATTTCCTATCATTTCTAATAGATTTATTTTATTAATAAGAAAATCATAGTTTTATTTATAATAAAAATATAAAAAATAATAAAATATTTATAAAACAATAATGAAAACGTGAAAAAATAAATAAAAAAATTAAAAATAATAAATAAATTTTTTAATTTTTTTAAAAAAGTCCAAAAAATAAAATAAAATACCTAAAAAAAATATGTAGGTCACTGCCAACACGTCCTCTACCTCCCAGCACCACCGACTCCGGTCGCCGGAAAAAATGCCACATTTCTCTGAAATAGGTCAAATTGACTAAATTTACTACAAGTAAAATTCTGTGAAGTGGCTAAAATATTAGAATATGCTGAATTATAAATACCCCTTCGTCTCATAATTAAATGTATTTATAATTTCTTTTAAGGTCTTATAGGTGGAAGTTTGACTCTAAATATAAAAAAAAATATACTTATAATTTTTTTAATAAATTAACAATTTAATAATATACCTTCCAATGAAGTATACGAAATTAATTTTGTGTGACAAAGAAATACTCGTATAAATTTTGAATAATTAATGATACTTAAAATATACTTCGTATTTTGTTACTAAAATGAAAAATATGAAAGTAGTACATCACTAAGTAACTTTAGTCAGATCGACAAGAAAAATAATTTCAATTTTACTCATTTTAGTTATTATAGAATTCACACAAAATAAAAGTTAGGCGTTTAGTAAAAAAATTAGGTGATATTACTCATAAATTAAAAATAGGAGTTAATCCCAAAGTGAGTTAGGTTAGCATCATACTCCTCTTAAGTAAGACCCTTGAAGTATATACTATCTTATCCCTAAAATTTTGCTAACTTTTTTTCTTATCTCATTATTTCTCACTTTCCCTTTTAACTTTTTAAGCAAGAGTTTGTGATTGTTCCAAAAAAAAGTTTCTGATTTCAATTAAATCTCAAACAAAATCAGGTCAAACTTGGCTTAATTTTAACCAAAAATTTTTAAGAAAGAAAGCTAAAAACATGTTTCAATTCACCCAAAAAAAACTCTAACTTTATCCTTTTTCATTAATTGTCACATCATCACGTGATTTAGAAAAAAGCTATCTTGAAAAAAGAAAGTGTGGGATAAGCCAAATACACATAGTACCAAAGGCACTAAATGTTTAAGGTTTGGGTGTTGTTGCGTGTGTCAGTTTGCTTCGGGAGGGGGGATGATGCAGTCCGGACCACACTACTTGCAACACCAGCAGGTGCACCAGCAAATCTCCACCGCCCAATCTCTCATGGCGGCACGCTCACCTATGCTCTACGCTCAGCAGTCCATGTCAGCACCGCACCACCAGCAGGCTGCAGCCCTGCACGGCCACCTCGGGATGAGTTCCGGTGCCACCGGTGGGCTCCACATTCTCCCGAGCGAGGCTCACAATGCCGCGGGCTATGCTGACTTCGCCCGCGGCTTGGGTGGCGGGAGCAAGAACGAATTCGGTGGCTCTCTTTCAATGGACGGGCGGAGCGGAAGCTCCGGCGGAGATGGCGGGGAGACGCTCTACTTGAAATCCGGCGATGATGGGAACTAAGGAGGAAGGCATGCATGCATGCATGCATGATTAGTGATGACAATAGCGCTAGGAAAGAGATGGTTTACTTTGTGTTATGTGTTAATTAAGGGCTACATGCTTTATTAATTGTCATTAGGAGGAATGTTTAACTTTTAGCTTGGAGCTGTAGTTGTGACTTGTGAGAGAATGAAACAACTTGCTTGTATGCTAGCTTATGGACTCCTTAGTACTTATGTAAAGGGTTATTATTAAGTGAACTAATTATATTATTAATGCTCTTAATTTATAGTTGGGACTATATAAATGTATGTGAGTATGTGACTAAATTAGGTTTCATTTGTTTTCCACCTTCAAGCTAATTACTTCAGCTGTCTTTCTCCGAATATAATGGCCTTGTTTGGTAAATGGTTGTTAGCTGTTGCTGGTAGCTGGTTGTGTCAGCTGTTTCGCAACAGCTGGTTGTGTTAGCTGTTTTGACCGACTGGTTATGTTGGCTGATTATAAATAACTGTTTGGTAAAATTGGCTCTTTCGAAATGGTTGATAGAGTGTAAATTGAACCAGCCAAATGAAGAAGCTGCTCCCCTTAGCTTCTTCCACAATCCATTTTTTCAGCTTTTCAAACTCAACAAGCTAATTTTAAAAGCCATTTACCAAACATTATTATTAGCTTCTTTGACTAATCAAACAGTTGAAATGGGTCAAACAAGCTAAAAGCTGGCTGATAAGTCATTTGCCAAACATACCCAATGTGAAGTGTTTTCTGTACAGTTTTGACATTTTCTTAATTTTTAACTCCTTTTATTTCAAGTTTCTCTTAAACATATATGAGCATACATGGGAATTGTTCCTTTCACAAAACCTAAATATACAGTACTTCGTACATAGTACTAGCTTCCTCCCGTTGAAAGATTCTCATACCAAAACCGTACCGTGATTTAAACAATAATTAAATCTTATAGCAAAACCGTACGATGATTTAAACAATAATTAAATAAAGTATTTCGAGTATATTTTAAAAAATAATTTTAATAGGTTTATATTATAATGTAGTTAATATTGATAACTGTGATGTTATAAATGTATTATTTTTAATATTTAATGATTAATTTATCACTTAAAATTGTTAATTATTTTCTAAAATAGAGATGAGAACCTTTATATGAGACGTCCAAAAAAGTAAAGTGAGAACCTTCTAATGGGACGGAGACAGTAGCCCGTACTTGATAATTTAATTTGTTCTTTCTCTTGCACCAAACTTATTAGGAAGAACTATCAAATAAAGCATCAGACTTTCATAAAAAGTGCAAGTAAACCCTTTTACAGGAGACTTTGTCCGGATGTCGCCATTTGGGGTGGTTTATGGTGGAATTTTTTAGCATCTTCTATATTAAGTCTAGTTTACCCATATCAAATTCCACCTAAAAATTCAATCGAGAAGGTAGTCAAATGATTTTCTGAAATATATTGCGCTGTCTAACTGCGCAGTTATCTTCAAAAACTCATTTGACTGCCTTCCCAATTGAATTTTTAGCTGAAATTTGGTATGAATAAACAAGACTTAATGAAGAAGATATTCAAAAAAAATCATCAAAAAATTCCACCGTAAACCGCTCCAAATGACGACGGCCGGACAAAGTCTCCTATGAAATGACTTATTTGCACTTTTTATGAAAGTTCAAGGGCTTATTTGATAGCTCTCGATTAATAACAAGAATGCATGAGGATATATTGTGTAGTGTCATTCTTTAAAATTAAAGGTTGTGTTTATAAATAAATAATAAATAAATACGTAGTAAATAAATAACTGAAGGAAGGAAGAAGACGATAATATTCACCTGGTGTTTATGGGTTCAATGCACTAAAGATTCTCGTGATATACAGTATCGTAATCACCGTAATTTTCAGTGGTTGCATAACTGCATTATTGCTTGTAAATTGAAGTGTCAAATCCCTTATATATCCTATACCAGTAAATTTTAATTGTCAAATAATAGCATCGTAATCAATTTTTTTACACAATTTAAGAATCTTGACAAATTTAATTGCGCGTCTAACATACAAATATACAATAACATTAAATAAGAAATAATTTTCAAACTGCGAAATGCCGAAATTGGTTGTTTCAAAATGTTATGTGGATGATTAATTTAACACATTAGAATTTGATAAAATATACTACTCATTCTCTTTTAATTGCAACATTAGACTTTTTGCACTATTCATCTATTCTACTTTAACTACTCTATATATTTTATTTATTAATGTATTATCAATTAAATTTCTAAAAAATATTTTTAAATTCTTCTCATTTTAAATTTTCAAAATCTGAAATTTTTATTTTTTTTACTAATATTGATAGTCAAACATGTGCGTAGATAAACGTAAAAATTAGACCCCAATTAAAAAAGGAGGAAATACTCCCTGCGCAACAAGGATTTGGCATGTCGGTGCATTAAACCAGGTATTTTTAGGATCGGATTTAGACTTTTAGCTGTAGCCGTTTGAGAGCCTGCCTCGACTAATGTCTCCGTTGTAATTTTAAGTTGAAAGAATTGCCCTAAATGAGACTAAAAGATGGTTAAAATTACAAACTAGGACTATAAGTTTATTATTCCCAAAATAGGACTCCTAATTACTTTTTTACCCTTCTTATAATTAAACCCCAAAATAAGCTACAACTCAGTCCAAGCAAGCACCGGATCCAAGCAGCGGAGACCAACGAACAAGTCACAACACATTCACAACCCAGCAATATCTTTATCTTTCATCACCGTCGCCGTTGCTCGTCTGTATTACTGCCATAGCCGATGCCGCTCATCGGTATCACTGCCATAGCCACCACCGATCTTCTCCATTTCCGCCAACCTTCTGTGATTTTTCCCATGGAACCAAGTAATTTCTCTTCTATTCTCTTCTCCATCTCTCTTCTTCTTCTTCTTCTTCTTCTTCTTCTTCTTCTTCTTCTTCTTCTTCTTCTTCTTCTTCTTCTTCCTCTTCCTCTTCCTCTTCCTCTTCCTCTTCCTCTTCCTCTTCCTCTTCCTCTTCCTCTTCCTCTTCCTCTTCCTCTTCCTCTTCTTCTTCTTCTTCTTCTTCTTCATCATCATCTTCTTCTTATTCTTCTTCATCATCGACTCTTCTTCTTCTTCTTCTTTTGCTTCTTCTTCATCCTAGTTCTCTGCTTTCTTTTTTTTTAGTTTTTTATCAACAAATTTTAAATAAAGTTTTGAATTTTGAAAGTTTTCAAATGAAGATATATATCTGAACTTGAATTTCTTGTTATTAAATTTAATAAATTTGAATCTCAAAATGACCTGACTACTGATTCCAGAAAATGACACTTTTTGAATAAGAGAATGTCATAATTATTGGATTTTTTTAAAAAATGTCACTTTTATGTCATTACAATATTTGAAAATGTCATATTGAGAATGTCATGTTTCTATACGAAATTGTCATTATTGTGTCATTATTGGTCATTTTTTAAAAAATGTCACTTCTATGTCATTACAGTATTTGAAAATGTCATATCGAAAATGTCATGTTTCTACACGAAACTGTCATTATTGTATCATTATGCATATTAAGTGGCATTCTCGCATATGAAGTGACATTCCTCATGGAGGTCTGCACAGACTCACTGGAGGGCAGACCTTTGTTGGAGAATGATGATAGTGTACTCTCTGAGGGGTGGCTATGGTGTAAAACTTGATGGATGGTGGCAGAGGCACCATTGGTGGAGGAGTTGACCTCTTGGAGGCAGCCTACGCAACGGCACATGGAAACCTGCGCATCAAAGGGGAACACCATCTGCGCAACACAGACCCCTCCATCGACACAGGACTAAGGGTATTTTTGTCAGATTAGGTCTTTTTAGTCCTATTTTTAGCCAATAAAACATAGTAGTCCTGTTTTTGCAATTACAGCTTCTTTTAGTCTTATTTAGGAATTCTCTCTTTTAAGTTGCGTACTATAGTCGCCCTTACTTTTTTTCGGAGAATAGAGAATTAATTGTGATTAATAAAGTGAAAGTTAAAACATCAACAATACGATTAAGAGGATTAAAAAACCATCAATAAAGACTATCAGATAAAAGAACAAGTCACCCGCACGTGTAGCTCAGTTGGTCGAGTGGTGGGAAAATTGGACCAAGTGATTAAGGTTCGAAACCCGTAGTGGCCTTGTGAAGGTTGCAGAACATGAAATAAGGCTGGACCTCTGATGCGCACATGTATAAAACCTACTGCCGCTTTGCTGAATGGGTCACCGTGATTAACCTCACCACCATCCTGTCGGATCGGGGTGGGGGGCTCCTGGGGTGGGAGATTCCACCTTTTGGACCAAGATAAAGAACAAGTGACTCTAACTAACTCATAAACAACTTTGTTTGTGTATCGCCTAATGTGAGAAAAGAAAAAGCTTTAAAAACTCCGAACTCAATCTCTAATATCATCCACAAATTATACCGTGGGATCGGTGCACCTTCCTCAAGGTGTACTGATCCCAAAACAGCATCGTTTTGTTAAAAAATTCAAAACCTCCTCCTACCTCTCTGTAATTGCGCATCTATGGAATGCACTCCCGTTGCCGGCGAGTCGCAGAATTCGAAGCCGCCGAGCTACGTCGCCGCCACGCCACTGGAAATCAACACCGTCAAAGATCACTCCTCGAACTCCTACGCCGCCGCCCAACCCCATCAGACCTAAACGAAGAAGAAGAGATGAGAGCAGAGGAAAGAAGAAGAGAATGCTGCTGCCAAGCTCCGTTTTCGTCCGCTTGTCACCAGCGTGCCTCGATTCCCAGAAGAAAGAGCTGATGCGTGAAGAAGATGAAGACCCTGGCTATCCCCGGTTATCTGCTGCGTTTACATCTCCCCTAAAGCCCATTTACATTTAAACATGCTGAAGTTACATTTTGTAACACGCGATTTACATTTTAGATAACACGAGTTACACCACGAAACAATGCGATTTACACAACAAAATAAACCTCTATTATTCAATCAAAATGATTTTCTTATTAAAAATAAAACATATGCACTACTTATGTAAAATAATTGAACAAGTATACTCCTTTTTTGTATTAAACATGAGTTACATTTCAGGGCATAAGTTACATTTGTTGTTAACTGAAGTTACATTTGTAGCAAGACGAGTTACATATAATTATACACAAGTTACATAGTTCATGCTGCTGGGATGAAAATAAAAAAAAAGTTACTGTACACGCGTGTACTGTTCACGCGATTTAAAAAAAAAAGTGCAAAACTACGTCGTTTTGGGAGTGGAGCACGGTGCTCACCGTGGGATGCCAACTGAATATCATCCGTTATTGCACCCGAAGAAGATCACAGTTTATACCCTGCAACCGGCGCACCATGAG